TGCCATTGTGGATATTCAATCTGAGCGGGATTAATGTTTTCGTTCGTGGAAGTATTGTAAGGTTTCTCCTTGTTTTACTTCGAAATCGTTGTTCCGTCTCTAGCAGACGCAAAAATCGAAATATCAAGTTGAAATCAAATTTTATTACGCTAAAAACCATTCGGAAGCCCACCATGAATTTATTGATGGCAAAGAAACTATAAAAAAAAATTAATGAGTGAGATGTTCACTGCCACATGCTCGCTACCCCCTGCTTGTTATAGTACAGAACTGTATTCCATTTTTTAAATTATTAAAAAATTTCAGTAAATAAAAAATACATACATAGACATCATATTACATTACTTGATAATCGGAATAGAAGCCTCAAAAATTGTTACACTGGATTTTATAAAAGTGGATTTATAACTAATTCAACAAAAAAATTAAATATTTTGGGAAGTTAGTTATAAATAATATAGCAATTACGCTTAAAAGTTTTTTACTGAAATTTTCAATACACTTGGAGATTTTTATACGGTGACACTTCCACTGAAATTTGAAGGAATTTGGTAACCGGAAATTCACAAGCTCATGAAAAGATCAATGGAAACTGTAAATGTTAGTTTATGTCTGTACGGGTGACACTGGGATTACTCATCACCCCACTGCCTGTTCTCGTAATTAACATAACACCCCGCAAAGTAACATAGTACACCCCACAGTATCTATCCAACACAGTAATTGTGTTCCGAGGATTCTGAGTACTATTGGCCCAGCAGAAACCTCAGTTCTGTGTTAGGTGTAGATTGGGGCAATGATTTTCGCCTCAATTCTTGGTATTTCTCAAAATCAGAGTAATTCAGTTGAACCGCTTCTTGAATTGACAATTCATTATTACCAATTCATCTTTCCGACTTGAACCAACCGTTAATTTGACTAGAATCAAGCCGAAAAATCGGCTTGAATCACATAAAAAATCGAATTGAATTATGGAGAAAAATCGACTTGAATCAAGTCATTATCTACTACCTGGAACAGGCAGAATTTTTATGTGAATCACTCCGTTTTTCGGTTTGATTTAAGCTGATTTTTCGGTTTGATTCAAGTCAATTTTTCGACTTCATTCAAGCCGATTTTTTCACTTGATTCAAACCGATGTCGGCTTGACACGCTTTTTCTTGAAAGTAAACCACTTTTCGACTCATATCAGAAGCGGAATCCAGATTGACGTAGTCCGAGTCACTCCACTTGAATCAAACCGACGTCGACTTGAAACAGTACTTTTTCTGGATGCAATCAATTACTGCGCAAGTTATTGCAATAATCCAATGATAAGAAGTCACTCTTTCTCAATTTATTCTCGTCGTTGCTTAAATTTTAGGGTTTTTCCAGTTTCCCAGAACGAATTCTCAACGTTAAATACAGTAATTACTTCAATACAGTATTAGTTCCTCAGAGCCTTGAAATCACGGTAAAAAGGGCTGAGGGATCACAAATTACCAGAAAAAAGACGTAAAAATTACGTTTTGAAACGTAATCTGGGAGCGAAGCAATAGTATATTTCGTAATGAGTGCAAAAAAGTGTTTTTTGGCGAGTGGGACGTTTATATCACGAGCCGAAGGCGAGTGATATAATCCCACGAGCTAAAAAACATTTTTTCACGAATTACGAACAATATTTTTCATCACAATGTGGCGGAAATTGGACTTTTAGGCACGCGGAGCGTGCCGAAAAGTTCACTTTTCGTCACAGCGTGATGAAAAATTTATTAAAAAGTGTCAATCGTCACGTAAATTCTACGATCTGTTCCGTAAAAATTGCTCATCCGTCCCACGCCTCACGACTAGCCATGAGTCACCGTGAGGGGGAGATTTTAACAACACGTTCCGTAATTTTTCCGGAACTTTTCGTAAAAATTCTTAAACATCCAAGAATTTTCATGTTCTGAGGCATAATAAGTCTTGAAGTTTCTGTTAGATTTTACAACTTCCAGAAAAATTACGTGACTTTTTCGTATTTTTTCGGTGACAGACCCGAAAATTTACTGAACGTTTCAGATTTATTCTCTTATATTCCTATAAAAATTCACTGAAAACGATTCTCGCTTGCGGATTACGTGAAATGTTCCGTAATTTTTCTTGAATATTTCTCTCCGTGCTGTTACTATGTATGGGTAGAGGGTATTGTACCACGATCAATTTTTCACAAAAAATGTTATCTTTGAATCCGTAACACGCAATCTTTATTCCAGTACATTTGATGTTATGGGTCTAGACGAGTATTTTTCCAAGAAAACAGTGCCAGTGTCAATGAGAAAGAATTGCCGATTATCTGAAATGTTTATATTTCATTTTACTTCATACCGTTGTTACTCCCCTCTCATTCTCAAAATTTACGTCATTCTCAAAATTCTGAAGAAGAATGATAGATATGAGCCCGGAAATTTTTATCGTTATATTTGCACGGAAAGTTCGATTTTTCTCCCCAAATAACAGGAGGAAAGTGACATTTCATTTCTCGGATTTATGTTGTTTTCGACGATCTTCGGAATGACATAACTCATGTTCCTCTTTTTATTTACGAAGAAAAATCGAAGTATACCGTGCAGTTATGATGAAAATACTGTGTGTTTCTAGGAAGGAAAACAGGACATCAAAACCCGCGTCTTTACCGGTAACACGCATAAAAAAATTCAATAGAAAATCTAGCGAAGTCGCTAGAAACTTCTGTAGGAATTCTAGCGGAATTCTATGGGGGTTCGATAGGATTTCTATTGGAATTCTATTGAAAATTCCTACTTGTTTTTTGCGCTGATTCTATTGCATTTTTTTTTATAGGAAAAAGTCAATATATTTTGAATTTCTGTTCCAATTTTTCTCTTGAGATTTTTTCTATTGTCATTATTGAAGTTCCAATAAAAACTGACCAAGGGAAATTTTAAAGTTGGGTGGGTTTTAGCACGTTTTGGGTGTGTGGGCTATTTTTTCCGCCTACCCAATGATTGGATACAAATTTTCGAAGTTTTTTCCACTGGATTTTTTGTTTTGCATTACAGAATGCGAGTGGAAAAAACTTGGAAAATTGATGCCCAAGCATTCTTATAGAAAAAATCTCAATAGAAAAATACAAACAGAAATTCGAAATATATTGAATTTTTCTTATCGAATATCCAATAAAATCGGCGCAAAAAAAAATTCAAATTTTCAATAGAATTCCAATAGAAATTCTATAGAAACCATCATAGAATTCACTAGGTTTTCTATTAAATTTTTTCATACGCGAATCCACACGCGGGTTAGAATGTCCTGTTTTCCTCCTTTGGTGCACAATATAATAATCAAGTAATATTTCTATTAAAATTTCAGAAAAACTCATTATTAAAAAATCTAATTTCCTATGCATTATCCAACAATTCAATCCGAAAATCGATGAAAACTATGAATTTCATCTCAATTATTCCATGAAAATTGTGAAAACTCATGAAAATTTAGGTGAAAATTAAACATTCATGTCATTTTACTCTTGAATACTGTTCTCGAAGTAAAGGTTTAAGGCCCGGGTGTACTATCTTTCGAACGTTACCTCGATGTTTTTTTTCATCTTTCGTCATGTGAAATTGTCAATTAAGTCCTGCATCATGCTGAAGTTTTGAAAAATTATGAATGAATAATCAAAAAAAAGTAGAAAAAATTCTTAATTTTTTCAGAGAGCAGTTAATTTATATTCAGAATAAGTTAAATAACAAGAAATTGAAAAATGCATCTGATTTACGGTGACAAATGGTGGCCTGTCACCCACAATATCATGCAGGGGGAAGACTGATTTCGTAATCTTTTCCCACACTGCACAGAGACATTTATTACGCAAAAGGCTCTTTGAAAAAAGTTGTAATATTTTAGAGAATTTTTTAATCATACTTTTACCACATAAAAATGGCAGATGACTACATACCACTGTTTTGAAAATTGAGATACCTAGCTGTCACTTCCCATGAGGAGTTAGTGTTTTGTTATCCATCATGGAAAATGACAGCTAATAAATAATTCGCCACAGCGAATCTGATATTTGTAATTTCTACTTTTTTCAACTCATTCTGAATCTCAATTAAAAATGCTTTTTGAAAAAGTTCAGAATTTTTTCCATTTTTTTTTTATCATTCTATCATAATTTTTGGGAATTTCTACATGATGTACCACTCAATTGAAATTTTTGGATTACGAAAAATGAAAAAAATCCAGATAACATTCGAAAGATAGTACACCCGGGCCTTAAGTTATAAAATTTCCTTTTTAGTCTACCGACAACCTATCAAGCTAGAAATTATTTTGTCCTCTGAATCGAATTCAATGCCACACGTATAGAAATTACTACCATATTGTCTGTGAAATTCCAATTTTATTCCAACAAGATATCCTAACTATCTCTGATACTAGTCCCTTCATCGGAAAATATCAAAAATCTTTTCGTACTTCATAACAAAAAAAAAGTCTATCCATTGCGTCCTTTCTCGAATATTTTGAATACTGTGTTTATCTTTTTTTTCAAGTACTTCCGTCATGAATTTTAAAAAATAAGCTATTCTTATCGCTATCATATTCTTGAGGTCGCACAACAGCTGAAGTCATTGAGCCAAGGCCCGGGACAGAAATTCGCTACGAACAAAGAAAAACTATAGAACAAAAGCCGCTGCCTTTTACCCAATCCTCACTGTCAGACAATGGCCCGAACTATTGGAATAGTATCTATTACGTCCGGGGTTCCGATAACCGGCTCATACAGGCTGTGCTAGCACCTTTAATTGACACCGTTCGGATATATTTATAAAGTGTGCCCACACATTTTCACATTGATACTACGTGCGCACAATTACAAATGCACAGGATAAAAGTTAGTGATAACTATTGCCACTGGCAGAAGGAAATAAACGAGGGAGTGTCTTCGAACGTCACGGGTAGTTTGGATAGAGTGTTATGCTAATGGAAAGGAGTGAAACGGAAGTAAAAAAACACATTCAGACCTGTTCTTTCTCTTGTTGGTTACGAGGCCAGAGTGTCGCCGTCAGGAATATCTCCCCTAAATGCTGACGCGGTCTCGCTGGATCCTTCAATTCGAGAGTTATATCTTGAGGTTGTCCTAGTTCCAGTTGAGTTAGCTCCAATGGTGCTGCGCCCATGAAGTCATCTTGAAGGCCCCAATCATAATCAAAGACCTTCAAAGAAAGAGAACTCTTAGTTAAACCATCAAGGGACGCCCCGTGCAAAGCATGAGAGTTTTAATTTTTTAGTGAATTGTTAGAGTTTAATTCGATAGTCATGTCAGAATTTCGCCCAGAGTCAGGGAATCTAGAAAAGCAGTAGCTTCACAGGAAAATGTTAGAGAAGTTTCCTTGTCAGACATAAAATTCACAATAGAAGCGGTCTCGACGTTTTCCCCTATAATCGATAATTATTGAAATTATTGAAAGAATCTCGGGACAAAAAAGAAAAAAAAGCTCGGGACTTTTAAAACTCATAGTAGTCTCCCCTTAATTTATACTATTTTATTTTATTTTCCCTCCATTTCCGTCTTCACAATTAGATTAATTTAATTTTATCCATTCTTATTCTTAATATAGATATGTATATATATTTTCCTTAATTTACAAGTTACAGCATTAAATGAAGAGGAATTATGTTAAAGATCAATGGAACGTATTTTTTTGCGATCAAAACAAACATACAACATGAAAGTCATTCGGATAATAGACATATCTCTCCATGTATTGCTGAAAATTTTTAAAAACTATTTTTTCCTTCATATGGTAAAAGGATATCAGTATTCCTTATTCCTATGGTCAGATTCCAATTATTATTCTGAAAAGGAAATGAAAAAAGAATCAGAAAGGGATAATCGGCTAGAAAATGGAGAAAATTTGTTTTTCTTCATTTGTGCCGGTGGAAACTTGGAATTACTGTTTTTTCTTTAAATATGGGAAGTATATTAAGATTTTCAAGTTTTATGATTTCATTTTAACGAGAAGAAATGATAAAATGTAAAATAACGTGGGCTTGAAGAACTAAAAAAAAAAATTTTTCAATGTCTCCGGAAAGTTTTAAAATTAATATATTGTTTCGAATAATGAAAGATAACCCATAAATTAGATTTCCATCCTTGTCTTTCGATAGAATAAATAAAATAATTGGAAAAAATTATGAATTGGAAACTGAAAATTTTATGCGATTATTATTATTATATATTATGTAATTACGAGGGACAAAAGATATGAAAAACCTTCGCAGGATCATCTTCCAACACTACTGACTTCAGAAGATTCAATAGAATTAGGAAATAAGAAAGGAGTGCTTCTCATTTTCATAAGAGAGAAATATTCGATTTAACAAAAATGTTTACTTTTACTTCTTTCAATGGAAAAGGAATAAATGTTTACGAAAAATACCATCAGAATGAAAACAATGAGTTTCTCAATTGAAGAAACTAATCACAGAATGTGCGAAGCTCGAATATTTTTTATGGCTTAAAGCTATGACTATGCATAGTTTACAAATTATTTCTATACGACAAATTATTTATTATATATGAACAAATTATTTCTATAAGATTTCTATAGGTTTGATCCTATAAGACCCCCTGCCACTTGTATAGAAACATTTCGTATGGAGTTGCGGCATTTCTCTACGTTTTTCTCTGGAGCGTTTAGACATCTTTCGTATGAAAACAAAAATTTATGTAAAAATTTATGTATAGAAATAATTCATATTGAAAATATTCGTATAGAAATATCCGCATATCATATACGGAAATCCTATGGAATTTCTATACGCAATCCGTATAGAAAATTTCTATATGATGTTTTCATACGTGTGTTGCCAGAGACACCACGCTGAACTACAACTACTACTGAATGAGTGATCATAAAAACCACTGGAAAGAGATTTCCGAGAAAAAGCTTTAGATGAATAGTTTTTTTGAAGAGTTGAAGAGTCGGGTCCGCGGAGTTAAAAAGAGTCTGAAAATTTTACATTCAGATCATTTTGCAAATACTGTTTCGAATAGTAGTCGCAGAAAAAAATTTAAATAGCCATTTTTTGTAGTTAAAAAAATTACTAATGAGAGTTTCAAAATTTTTAGCCTCAATAGTTGTCAAAATGATATCGTATATGTAGCGCAAGAGTGAAGGACAAAAGATCCAACGATTTTATACGGATAATTTTTTCAATATATCTCCGGAACTAGTAGGTTCAAAGAAGAATGCGAAGAAACCTTTCTAATCCATGAAATTCTCCGGGGCTACAGACAGAATAATATGATAAGTCGTCTCGCAGTAATCTCTTCTTACCACTTGACAATTCGATGAAAGGGGATGAACGTCATCAGAGCATATAGAGAGAACATTCCGATTATTCAGAAGGACAGAAGATATGTGTTTGATGTCAAAGGAAGCTTACGCCTCCCCTGCCGGTGAAAGAAAATCTATACTTGAATAAGTTCTCAGGAAATAGGAAATTTATTCTCAAAGTATAGATTTCTATCATAAGATAGAGAAAAATGTACTGGCTGTGTATATCCAGTCAGTGCATTGCCAGAGAAAATACGTTCAGCTATTAGTTTGGGCAGCGTCAAGTACACTTACTAGTTGATAAATAACTGGAGAAGCTATGACGCATGAAGGAAAGATATAGGACATTCCGCGCTATTACGCTAAAAAGGCATGCTTTCATTTTCCTGGCGCAGTTTGATATATCGTAAGGCAGTCCGAGATAGGCTAACAGCTGAAAGGAAGTGCGGAAATTATTTTTTTTTTAGAAAGTTACGATGTCTTGAAATTTTTAGATGGGAAAAAAGATCGATCCTTTGAAAACTTATAATTCGAAGAGCATAAATTTTATGAAAAAAAATGCAAGTGCACTTTTTTTGTTGAACGGGGAGAAACTAAGTTGAGCTACTAGGTTGGACAGCACCAAGTACGTTTACTAGTTGATAAGTAACTGGAAAAAGACATGAAGGAAAAGGTATGGGACATTCCACGCTATTACGATGGAAAAAAAAGCATAATTTCACGCATTTCTGACGCACTTTGAGATATCGTAAGGAAGTCCGAGAACGGCCAATAGCTGAAAGGAAGTGCAGTCATTATTTTATGAGAAAGTTACGATGTCTTAAAATTTTTAGATGGGAAAAGAGATCTATTCTTCGAAAATCTATAATTCGAAGAGTATAGATTTTATGAACAAAATGCAAGAACACCCTTTTGTTGAGAAGGGTGGATTTTGCTCAGGATAAATAGGCGAGAAGATGATGACAGACGAGAAGATGGTGATAATACGACGATTTTGATGTACGTCTTGATGAATTTCTTTTAATATTAAAAAAAAATCATCAAAACACGTTCAAAACATGTGCACGGAGAGCCCATATATTTAAATTGTTTGTCACCAGCACTATTCAATTTCCCAGAAAATCGAAAGAGAACCGATATTTTTTTGTTGTTATCAGAAGACGTCTTCAAACACACGCAACATTGAAAAATGATAGTTTAAACAGCTTGCATTCTTTCCCATTCATGTAATTGTGTTTTTTTTAATAACAATGAGAGTCCCGAAAAAACTCAAGGTTGACTTCTGTGGATTGTAATCTATTCAGACTTTTATAGTAGTGTTTAAGCCGCAAATCGACCCAATCCATATGTTTTACTATTCTTCATGTTCTGTAGTACTACCCAGTCGTTTTTCACCCATTACGATATAAATTAAATTTTTTATAGAATCGTTACATTTAACTTGTCACTGACCACCATTAAAGATATTTCGTTGTTGGACATTAAAAGAGTGTGATGGGATTACTTCATGGAAGAAATTGTCATTTCTACAACTCTAGGAGAAGAAAGTGCAGTTTTGTAACGTCGGAAAAAAATGAACAACAGTCACTCTTATATTAGACACTCTTATGGGTCTGCTCTTATATTTATAGTTCATAAAAATGAAATAAAAAACTTGAAAACAATCCAGAAAAACATGATTGCAATAGCTCCTACTATAAAATTCTTCCTACAAACTATCTCATAGCTTTCAATTGAAAGAGAATTATACAGAGAAAATTTATTTAAAACATTTATCCCTATATTCTATCAATTTCATTGGGTTCCATTGTCTGCAATAGCACTTATGAAATGGAATACAACAAATATCTCTCTATATTATAAAAATCGAAATCTACCTCTGAGCAATTCTACATCAAATCTGAAATGAAAAAAAAAATCATATTTTCGACTGTCTTGGTGGTTTATTCCTGCGCGGAGAAAAATATTGAGTAAAAATTACGGAACTCACAATTCACTCACCGATTATGAAATGGACTCAGAAAATTTAAGTGACGGCATCGTAATTTTCCACAGAAGATTCAGATAAAAATTATGGAACGCTCCGCAAAAATTCCGTGACAGTTCCGTAAAATTTCCTACAACCACATTTTGCTCCGAAATTACGCAAAAGATACGTCATTTTTATTGAATATTTCTCTCCGTGTGAGAAGGAGTACATGAGACCGAGCTCTCCTAAAGTTTTTAGAGCGACTCGATTTTTTAACAGTGGGTTATGATTTTTCAGAAAATTTCTCTTTTTCCACTTGAATTTTCATTGCTTGACAAAAAAAGTGAAATAATTGAATTTAATCATTAGGAATCGAATTTTCGTTTTCATCCATTTGAAGGTAATTGAAAAAACTTCAAAGCGAGTGCAATTAACACTCCATTGGTCACGCAAAAGTTATGAACGCCGTTGGTCACGCCGTAAGCGCCGCGTCGCACCACCATAAATTGACACAATGATAAATTTAAAAAATCTTGGAAAAATCTGAAAAAAATCAAGAGTGATCTAGATCGTATACTTGAAGAAGTCCAGTGAGGTTTTTATACTCACTGTTACCGTTAATTATCTATTCGCGCTCAAAGTTGCCATGTTTTTCTAATAATTCGCCTTATACACGGTGCACGGCCCGGAGTTTCGGAATAAAAATCTGAAAATCCAACTACTTACGATATTTTTGGCGGATATTTTCATTGATACGGCTTCTAGACACTTCAAAATGAAATGGCAAATTTTTTGCAATTTTCTTTGAGGCTTTTACTGAAGTGCAATTTAAAAAATCGGAAAAAGTGCGGCGCGGCGCTCGGAGCACGACCAACGGAGTGTTGAGGGGATTCTACAATGAAGCGCAACGCAGGATTAACGCAATGTATGCAATTGTTTGAATCAATCATTCAACTGTTTTTCGATTATTTTGACAATTGCAAACGCGTGGCGTCAAGCCTGCGTTGCGTCGATTGTAGAATCTGCTTTAAGTTTAAGTTATTCAGTTTTTCGAGCCATTATGACAAAATCAGTTTTTTTTTTCATTTGTACCTCCTCGAAAACTTTGTTTTTAATCTGAAATTTTAGGGGTAACTTGGGTACATAATTATCGACGTTTTTATCAAAGGACAATAATTTTTTTGCATTCGTTATTTGTTAAACGAGGGATTTTTTCTCTCGAAAAATTCCTTTCCGGGAGCAATGCGTAAATGACAAAGAAAACAAACTCTATGACTAGCAATAGTGAAAAAAGTGATTTATTTCAAGCCATATTCCACTTCGGAACATATAACTATCCATCTGAACGTGAGAGTGATGGAGGGGACACTTAAGAATCTTGATTTATTTCATAATCAATGGATTTAAAACTTGTGGTGACAATTTTTTGTTAACAGGGAATTCATATGAAGACGCAGGCTTGCATAGTAACATCAAAGTGGCTTCGAATAAATTGGAACTCAAGTCTCTACCGACGATCATTCCCACCCACATTTATCCTCCGAGGCAATAATGACTTCTGGTTTGATCGATTCCAACGACAATACATCGTTTGTTAGTTTGACAGTTTCATACTCAGGTGAAAGAAGGTCTGACTATCATGGTCCCAGTGAAGATGGGTACGACAGACATAGCTACGCGTTCCTGGTAAAGATTGGAGCCCCGTAAATCAACGGAGTAATTGTTTTTCTGAACAAATCAACAGATCGCGTATCGCTAGAGCAAATTCGACCGTGAGGATATCACATTACCCTCGATCACTCGCGCTTGGCAGCCAGACTTCTTCCGTCGCACGCTTAGCGTAGCACCGCTGGGTTGAACCGAGCGCGCTGTTGCCACGTTGGCGCTTACCGCTGTGTGCGCATTTCAAGTGTGGCAGTGAATGTAGCAACACTGTCGCTCGAGCGGTCGACAAGGACTCACTCGCACCGCGTCGCGCGGTACCGCTTTTATGTCCGTCCGATGTTTCTTTTTGTTCTTTAGCAAACAAATTTCCCGAGAAAAAAAAACAGACAACGCCAATGCTTAATGAAAGGATTGAAATAGAAACTCTCATTTTTTCGGAATTTTTAAGCGCCGAGAAACACACTAAAATATAAATAAAAGAAAAATGGACTGCGCCGCGCTCATTGAGCGAGTGATCGAGGGTTAAATTTTTTTTATGCCACTCATGCCTGAAACCGGCTGGATTACACACTCGACGCTTCGCGTCTCGTGTCTAATTCAGCCGGTTTCAGGCTTCGTGACATAAAATTTTGTTCAGTACTTGTTGGAAAATTTCGTCCTTAACGTGTGGTTACATCACTCGCCTTCGGCTCATGCTGTAAACCCCACACACGTTAAAGACGATATTGCCCCACATGTACTGAAATATACTATTATACCATACGTGCGTGAAATCCGGCCGGTTTCAGTTGAGTGTCGACGCACAGAAAGTGCCGGGTTTCACACTGTAGTGTGGAACCCTACACATCTGTGTATAATCCCGTGCGTAACCCATGGGCATGCGCAAATGCACGGATCGATGCGCAAATGGTCGTCGCAATATCATCGTTGGATTCCACACATCCATTGCGCATCGACTCGCGCATCGACTCATAACATCGCCCACTGCCTCACTTGTTGGTATCACATAACCCTCTAAATATTCTGTCGTTAAATTTATTCATTTATTCAATATAAAAGCAGTCAAATTAAATGGACAACCACATCATACCCGACAGTGACGAGGAGATTGATCTCTCGGGAGATTTATTTGATGGAGATTCGACATTCCTTATATTTTTTTATATTTGTAACCAAAGTTTAAAGTATAAAAAGTATAAAGTTTAAAGTATATTTGTAACCAAAGTTTAAACTATTTTTCATGTAGAAAATGCTATATGTGAAAATAAGTTTTCATCTAGTCGTTGAATATATCCCTTCGAATTTCATTTATTTATTCATTTTTCAAATTTTCCTCACCCAATTAAATTGAGAAATTTGATTTTAAACAATTTCCAAGTGTGAACTTTTTTTTAATTTTTGATCTTGATTGGGCTTCGCCCCTCGACCCCACCAGGGACTTCGTTTCTGGAACCTACCGGGGGGCTTCGCCCCCCTGGACCCCCTTCTGCCCCCCCCCCCGCCCCCTTTTCGCCGCGCACGCACTTATGGTATAAAATAGTATACGCAACTCGTGCGGGCAGCAAGCGGTTACGCACGAGGGCGGCGCAGCACTTGTTGCGTAATATACTATTTCCGAACAATTAAGTTTTTCTCTTCGAAGCGTTTCTTCCAAAACTAGTTTATTCTCCACTGTCTTTTAATAATATCCGTTCACTTTACTCCCATTTTTTAAATCTAAGTTCTGTTTATAATGATAGTCATTACAAAGGTTGAGCTGTAATAACAAATGATCTAATTTATGAATTTTTCCCTGAATTTTTTCGCAGAAAAAAAAAATCCGAACTTAACAGGGAACAATTTCAAAAAAAATGATGTCCTTCGGTGAAAATATCGGCAATTATGTCACCAAATTACCCCTAAAATTTCGGATAAAAAAACATTTTCGAGTAATTGTAGATTGAAAAAATAGTATATTTCGTAACGAGTGCAAAAAAGTGTTTTTGTGGGAGGTTTATATCACGAGCCGAAGGCGAGTGATATAATCCCACGAGCTAAAAAACATTTTTTCACGAGTTACGAACAATATTTTTCATCACAATGTGGCGGAAATTGGACTTTTAGGCACGCGGAGCGTGCCGAAAAGTTCACTTTTCGTCACAGCGTGATGAAAAAATTATTACGCGATAACAGCCCCAAAAACGGAACCAATCGAGTTCAATTGTGCTCATTTTGACGATTTTGTAATTATCTTCAAAGGCATGAAAACAAAAATTCGATTCTTAATGATTGAATTTAATTGTTTCACCTTTTTCTCAAAGAATCAAAATTCAAGTAGAATGTGATTTTTTTAAAATCATAACTCGTTGGGAAAAAATCGAATCGCTCTGAAAATTTTATGAGAGCTTGGCTTCATATACTCCTCAGAAAAAAATCGCGAAGACAATCGGAAACATGAAATTGTGAAATTAATTTTTATCATCGATCTATTTTGCCGAGTTATATTTTTCAAATATAAATGATTTTATGAATGATTTGGCCGGATACCTATGCACAAAATTTTGCATAGTGATAAAAAAATACTCTGGTAGAAGGCTAATCTATTGCCAATCGTGGTCCATTCTTCATCTCCAAAGGTCAGTAAAAATATCTCACGCGGATTAACAATAAATATTATATGATCTTTTTGTGGGCCAAAAATACCCAACAGAAGAAACACTCTACATGAAGTTTTCTCCTTTGAAGTCCTTCTTTTCCAAGTTATTCCGAAAAAAATCGTCCGATCTGGACCCATCATCTCTCTCCCCCTCTTCACGACCGTACATTCTACATCAAAGATCTTTCATCTCAGAGCACTAAAAGGAATTAATGGGATTAAACCGCGTAACAAATCTTCTTGATAATTTTCCAGAAGGAGGAAAGAATTCTAGTGATATCAAAGCACCGTTTACTTCCTCTCACAGTCAAAAGAAAAAAGGAAATTCATATTGACGAAATTAAACTATCTCGCGGAATGAATAACTCAAGTTTACCTTGATATTAAGCGGTTGGAATGGGTCCTCAATGGGCAGAGTAACGCTCTCATCCCAGATAGGATTGAGCTCACGATGAACAGTCCTAGATTTGTGTAGCAAACGACCGGAGCACTTGATCTTCACGTACGGATCACTTGCGCCTTAAAAAGAAGATAGAGGATGAGATGAGATAGAGACGATATATAGGTCAATTGACGCTTATAGTCGCTGATTGTTGTATATTTCATTGGGAGAAAAGGTTACCACATCGATCCATAGCGACGAGATTCGCGCCTTTACGAATGTGCAGACGTAGCTGGAAGAAGGCATGCTGTCTCAGTGCGAGTTCACGTCGACGTGAACTCTCGTCCTGAAGGATTATCCCGGGATCGGGGGCAGTGGAGGGACCGGCGTCATCGTCAATATCTGCTTCTCTTGATCTGGGATGACTGCTTTTTGATGAGACGTCACTGCATCTTCCTGGGCTGTCTTCCACAGATTTGTCTTTGCTATTTCGTGCTAAAGGGGATCCTGAATTTTTGAAGAAGATTTAGTGAAGACGGAAATACTATAATAGCCCGATATACTTGAAAAAATTATAGAGGGTATAACAAGCGAGCGCATTTGGAGATTATGGTGATATTACTACTATGAGTTTTAAAAGTCGCGGGCGATTGGAGGGAGGTTTATCATGCATTGAAGATCGATTACATATATCTAAAAATGTAAAATTAGTGCAAAAAAATTAATTGTTTATTGGTCGTTTGCCCTGCAGCCGTTTAAGATGTTAAAAATAGTCCAGGGCCCTCAATTTTTGAGCTACAAAGATTTTTTTTCCAAAATTGTTGAAAAAATGGGTATAATAATGTTTACAAATTTTTTTTTTTAATTCGACTCCTACACAGCTAATTTCGTTTTGTTTAATATACAAATTTGCGCCATTCATGTAAAATAGGCAAAGAAATATCCTTATAATATTCAAAATACATTGTCGATTCTTTCAGAAATATTTTTTGAGCTATTATTATTCATTTTTATACAATTAATATCTTATAATTGGTATTTTTATTAATAATGATTCATAACCGATCTTCAATATGTGAAAAATCTCACTCCAATAGCCCGTGACTTTTAAAACTCATAGTAGTCTCCCCTTAATTCGATAAATGATGGCTCATATTCATGATGGTCAAATTTCCAAGAACTGTACAGGAAATTTCACCCAAAAATTGCCAACAGTGCAAGGCTTAACGCAACAATCCTTAGAATGGTGAAAAAAAATAAAAGCCAATATCCTCCTCATTCCGCTTGGGTTCGTTTTCCCCTTTCAGAATATCACTACTTTTTCCAAAGTGCAAATTCCATGAAAGTATAGGTCGATTTTCGTAATATAAAATAAAACAATGTTTATGTTGTAGTATGTATATTCATTTTCGTAAAATTACTGCAACCACTGCTATTTTTTCCATTTTCTACTGCGCCTAAGTTATAAAAGAATAGTACTGAAATTGCAAAACATGGTAACTCAACTCGGTTTTCAAACCCTCGGGGAATAGACGAATTGTCAGGAGAACCTTCTTGTATCTCTCACTTTTCTCCACAAAAAAGTCCTTAATAAAATTTTCGTCCTCTCCCTTGGATTTTGAGGTGGTTCAGAAAAGTAGTTCAACTCGTCTCACCACTCTACTGCTGAGGTATACAGTGAGAAAAAAAAAGTTTTTTGAGAAATGCAACTTTACTTGTATAATAAAACTCATGACTTGAAAACTGAGTACAAAAAAATATCTTATACTGAGAAGAAAAACTTTTATCAAGAGATTTTCTACTTGTCTGAAAGATAAGGGGCAATTGGTTCACAACATGAAAGGAACTTCCCGAATTCAGTCAAATGGTTTTTGCATTAAATTTTTTTTTATTTGAGACCAAAAAAATATTAAACACGGAAAAAATATACTTGAATTAAGTATAAAATATACTTGCTTCAAGTGTATTATTCTTGATTCGAGTACCAAATATACTCCAATCAGGTATATTTTATACTCGAATGGGGGATTGGTGTTTCAATTCGAGCATGATTGTTTCGTATGAGCCCGGTTGTACCAAGCGCTCTCAAGTGTAATATAAGGGTCAGACACTAAGTGTGACAATATAAAGGTCAAAAAATGGCGGTTAAAAAATGAGGGTCGGAATATTAGAGTAAAAAACTGAGGGCCTGAATGTAAAGGTGGACGAATGAGGATCAGAACGTTAGGGTTAAAAAAAGCGGGTTAGACCCTTATTGCCTGACACCCACTTTTTTTAGTTTTATTATATTCTCACCCTAATATTCTGAGCCTCTTTTTTCACCTCCACTTTTTGACCCTTATATTCTGACACTTAATGCCTGACCCTTATATTACATTTAAGAAGTATAAAATATACTTGAATCAAGTATATTTTATACTCAACTCAAGTATATTTTTTTCCGTGAACATAATTGATTCTACTAGACTTGGATTGAGTTATCCCTCTCCTATCATGAAAAATAATCCCTGTCATTGGGACAAGTACAAAATCTTTTGCAAAAATTTTTTTTTGTCCGTGTAAAATATTTTATTTCCTCTCAATTGTCGAGGCATGAGTTTCTTGATACAAGCGAAGACGTACTTTGCCAAAAAAAATTCTCAGTGTAGAATGTCATTTTCATCGTCATCCACTCCCAATCATGACAAAAGTTCAATACCTGGATGATTGAGAGCCCTAGCAGGGCTGTGGGTTGCCGAGGAACTTCTACTATGCTCGGAGGAGTAATCCGCAGCATAGTCAGACTCGATTCCCCCACTCCGATGAGGTGAATCCTGGAGATTAGATTCCTTAGCTTTCTTCCTCTCTTTGCTCCGTCCTCTCACCCACCGGCTCTTCAGTGTAGCGAAAAAGGTGTGGGTTCTTTGAGCGACTGAGACAACCGGTCGGTGATGAGGATGCGGCTGGTGATGGGAACGACGGTGCTCAGTGCTCGATGCGGGACGATTCGTTGGATCCTCATCGTTCGCCCTCAGTTCTGTCGCACTTCTTGACAATTGTCTCTTGCCGTTGAGATTCAGGTGGGATTTGTCTGCTTTCGACGATTGATCTGAACATTTTAAAAAGGTTCATTCAGGATCAAAGTCCATCTTGATGAGGGAAGTTGAGTAATTGATTGAGGTATTTTTAGATCAAAGTCAAGGTGAAGACATTTCAATTGAGTGAATGGGCTCTTTATTACGTTACTGCGCATAACCATGGCTGTCGACACAATTTTAATTGATGCAATAAGTGGCTGGAAATTGATTGAATTGGAAGTAAATTGGTAGAGGAGTTAAGAAGTGCAAATATTTGCAGATTCTCTTGAGAATGTTCTTAGAATTGAGTGGTTTCAAGAAAAATGTCAGAAGAATTTTTTTTATGTAAACTACATGGAGAACAAATCATTGAAAATTTGCAAGAGAAATACAGCAAAGATTATTACTGAACGGTAGACGGTGAAAATTCGCTAGTAATGCTACCGAATTAATTCATATTCAGATTGATTTTTTGTAGTTTTTCCTTCGCCCCAAAGTTACGATTCTCTTTAATTTCTCTATATTATAAAAATCCAAATCAACTTCTGGTGATGAAAATTTGGTACTCGAAATTAAGAGACCAAAATTAAAGGTCAGAAAAGTCAAAATAAGGACCACAAGGTTCAGAGTAAGGGTCCACATTTTCTGTAAACCCTTTTTCGCCGAACATATTTACAAGTCCATCTGCAATTGTAGAATTTGTTAGCAAAATATGCAGAAAGAGAAAGATCCCATGAAACATTCAGAATTTTATCCGATAGGGAAGGGTAGGGCAAAACGAACCAGGCGGGCAAGACGGACCACTGACACAAAATTAATAATTTTTTCCATTCGGAAGCAATAACATAATTCAAAGTCATTTGTGGGTTGAGGTGATTAGCAAATCTGGTCAAATTGCGGTTCAACGACACTTGTTATCTATAAAACCCCTGTGACGGTTATGACCCTAGAAACTCACTTTTAATTCAACACATTCAGTGTTTCTGATTTGAAGGAGAGAAAAAAAAACAAAAATTACCAATTTTCTGTTAGTGGTCCGTTTTGCCCTCCCCTCCCATACTTTTTTTGTACATTTCTGGAATCAGTCTACACTAATAAAATATAAATTTTTTGCTAGGGAGATCTCTTAACAGATCTCTAGTTAACATTTTTCATTCTCTTGTGTTGTTACTAGAAGAATTCATGATGTCTCGTCATATGTGCTTGTTTTACCATAAAATGAAAGAATCTTGTTTAGATTTGCCGTAGAAAATTGATAACTTGTACTTCCACTTCCATCCATTATTCATGCCCATAAACTGAGAATATTTTCTCATAAACATTTCTTACCATTTGCTTCACCGTCCTCGGTGCCAGACAACAATTCTACACTCTTGCTCATTTTGCCTCGAAGGTGAATTTCCCCTTGTCTTCAAGCGTTTTTTGAAGTGAAAGAGATTATCGCGTACGAGTTGCATGATTTCCACAAGTGTTCGCCTATAATCCCGTGAATCATCGACTGTGTCTTAATCCAATTGTCGGGACGTATCTGAGGATTGAGAAGAAGAGTGCGTATTTTCCAACTTCATTCTGAAACCAAGAAGCAAATTTAATTATCAATGAATCGATCACAATAGCAATCCAATTATCGGTGCTTAATGGAAATTCTTTTGCTACGGAAAAAGAAAATAATAAAGACTATATAGACAATGCGAGAGCACATGCCATAAAAAACACATAAAAGAAAAAATATAAAACATAAAACGTATAAAAGACATTAGGGGTTTTTTGGAACAATGAAAAAAAAGTCATTAGTTTCCGCCTAAAATTGATATTTATCTGAGTCATTTTCATGTTAATGGACAATCGAAAATACTTCGTGCGCAGTTTATCTTGTGACTAATACCAGAAATGAGTACATTTAGGAAAAAGAGAGAAAACATTTTTCCCTAAATCAATATTTACTCGAACAAGTGCCTCACTAAAGTGATGAATAAATATGCGTCAAACATAATTTTTCCTTTCGATTATCGGGAAAATACCTCTTAAATCAGCAGGGAGGGGAAGGAGTCGAAGGACCTTTTTTATGGCAGAGACAATTTCTTACACAAAAGGTCTTATGGTATGCAACTAACTCTCTAATCAAATAATAGGAAGAGATGGATGTAAGTTTTGCTTCCAGATGGAAGTATTGTAATCGTTCAAATTTAAATTTTGGATTTTTTGTGATATATCAACTTATTATTATTCAAAAATGTTTCAAAAATTTTGTATTTTTCGAAAATCAGAATTCCGATGATATCTTTGAATATCATGTGTTGCGTGTCAAAACACGCGAAATTAATTAATTATCGAGTATTTTTTCCGTATTTTTTCTGAGAACAATTTAACGTTTTTTCTTCGAGTAAATTCCCCAATAAATTCATAGAAACCTTGAAAATTTCAGTCGCATCGTCTAGAGTATAATAGAACTATAGAATTCTTTCAAATATTTTCGGAATATTGCTCATTTTGTCCTTTCAGCACATTTTCTCTTTAGAATTTGAATCGTGTTATTAAAGTAATCCTCAACTCTCTGCACTCATAAAGAACCTTTTCCATTTCCTTAATCAGTACAACACCGTTCTAATCCCTTTTATTGAAGGTAAACTCTGCGCGTAAAATTACTTTATAGATTCCTTTCCTAAATCATCATCATATTGTCTAGTGCAATAATCACCTTTCGTCTCAGTACAAAAATTCCTTTTCTTCTCACTTATTGCACTCAACCCTCAAATATACCTTTCGAGACATTTTTAATTGGGGAATAGGCCCAACAGACGCCAGAAGTATCCCTCTCCATGCCCCTTTATGACCCACTGAGTATTTCACTCCATCAGGATATAGTCCCTCCCATCCTAATGATTTTCCTCCAATCATTTGCAACCTCAGATATCCATTTCTCTTTCCACAATTTTTCATCCCTTCCGACTACCTTTCTACAACTTATCTCCAAAATGAATTTTCATCAAACAGTATTAACGCGACTCTTATAGAAGAAACACCTCAACGGAGATCTTTTNATCTTTCCATTCCTCATTATCTGTATGTGCATTGTAACTTGTCATTCTTGTAAAATATATTTTAAGTTTTTATTGAAGGTGTTGTGTAAGTGTCATTTATGTCAACTCCAATTCTTCCTAAAAACATTTAATTAACTACATAAAGAAAACCTCGGCGTGTAGTGTTTATTCGTAAATATCATTCTGTAGAGGTCAGATTCCTAGAATTTACAACTCTAGGGAATTCAAAAATTGAATGTGGTATTCCAGCGAATATAATACATCATGCTTCAAATTAATTCAATGATAGCGTAAAATATTCGTTTTAATGTAATTAAGTCGACGTTAAAAGATGATTACGATAGCTATATTGGTTGACTTAATTTTTATGATGATTTGTGAGCTTTTTGATGTTTCAAATTCATTCAAGTATGTGTAAATAAATTTTTTTTATTATCATTTTATCACAGTGCTGAGGGGAGAGATAGAACTGTAAAAAAAAATCGGTTGTATAGAAGAAAAGGGATAATAAGAATAACGATGCTGATAACATTCAACTAAGTTGAAAATCTGACAAAATTCNGTAATCCTCAACTCTCTGCACTCATAAAGAACCTTTTCCATTTCCTTAATCAGTACAACACCGTTNATTCAATTTAATAAAATGAAATAAACAATGAATTATACATGATAGAAGGAAATTATGTGCAATATAACCATTCGGAGGCATATTGCTAATTTATTAGCAAAAATAATTAATCTATATGGGCCATTCCGCCAAATATCGGCGGAAATCTGGCCTCAAAATTTTCGATACTTTTTTTTTTGCTTCTTTGTACTACTTGTGTATAGAAAAAAAGATTTCTCGACTAGAAAAGGTCCCGTCTTTTAATTGGAAGGGCTGCGCAAGGTTTAACGATTTTACGCGAAAATTGTTCAATCGAATTGAACGTTCGTAGAAATGCTTAGAAAAAAAAATCAAAACATAGTTTTTGATCGGAAATTTTCGGAATTTTCCGGAAATGATGTTCATTTTCTCCCCCCACCCCTCCTCCATCGTGAAAATCGAAAAAGAAACCTTTAAACGTCATTTTTGGCAAATTCGCCATTTTTTTTTAATTTAATATTTTTTTTTGAAAAATATAGAAAATTTCCGATCAAAATCATATTTGAAACTTGTTCGCTTCTATAATGCTCAAGTAAAGAAAAATAACAGACAAAAAAATGAATATTCGAAAAATGATGAATATCATAGAACCAAGACCATATTTCATGGAAACATTCTCTATTTTCTATATCATCATCTTCTATGGAAATATCGTCTTCTTCCTACAATATTATTATTTTTCGAATATTCGCTTTTTTAGAATCATTTTTCTGCAGATGAGCATCATTGGAGCGAACAAGTTTCAAACATGATTTTGATCGGAAATTCTCTGAATTTTTGAGATAAAATATTAGATTTGAAAAAAAAGGGCGAATTTGCCAAAAATGACGTTTAGAGGTTTCTTTTTTGATTTTCACGATGGAGGAGGGGTGGAGGGAGAAAATGAACATCATTTTCGGAAAATTCAGAAAATTTCCGATCAAAAACTATATTTTGATTTTTTTTTCTTAGCATCTTTTAATACGTTCTATAAGAGCGAAAAATTTCAAGTCTAAAACTCGTAATCATGCGGACGGCCTCTAATTGAGCCGCGGGACCTTTACGCGTTGAAAAATCTTCTTTTATATACATTACATTCAGAAGAAGAAAAAAAAAATTGTCGAAAATTTTGAAGCCAGATTTCCGCCAATATTTGGTGGAATGGCCCATATACAATACAAGCGCAATTTCCCCGCTTGTTTTCACGGATACTTTAGTGAGGAATGTCGGTAAAACTTCTTTACAGCCCTTAAAATTCTGTAGAAATAGATTTTACGATGATTTCGGTTAGTATTCGTTGCCACAATAATTTAATACACACAAAGTACATGTCTTTATTTATTAAGGGGAGACTACTATGAGTTTTAAAAGTCGCGGACTATTCGAGTGAGATTTCTCATTGGGTTTCAAAAGTCGCGAGTTATTGGAATAAAATTTCTCATACATTGAAGATCGATTATATATGTCTAAAAACAAATAATTAGCAAAAAAAAAAATTATTATTCACTTGGACCGCAGACACTTAACATATTGAAAATAGTCCAGGGCCTCCAATTTTTGAGTTCCAGAGATTTTTTTTTTCAAAATTTTGAAAAAATATTTACAATAACAATTACGAATTGTTTTTTTGAAATTCAACTCCTACGCAGCTAATTCTGTTTTGTTTAATCTAAAAATTTGAGCCATGCATGTAAAACAGGCAGAACAATTATCCTTAAAATATTTCAAACATATTTTCGATTCTTTCAGAAACATTTTTCGGGCAATTTTACATGAATCGTGCAATTTTCTATAAAAAAAACTAAATTAGCTGTGTAGGAGTTGAATTTCAAAAAACTAATTCGTCATTGTTATTGTACATATTTCTCCAAAAAATTTGAAAAAAAACTCTGCAGCCCCAAATATGGAGGGTTGGACTATTTTAAACATTTTAAGCGTCTGCAGAGAAAACTGACAATAAACAATTAATTTTTTTACACTAATTATTCGTTTTTAGACATATAATCGATCTTCAATGTAGGGGAGGGAAGGGCAAAACGGACCAAAACGGGCACAAAATTGGTAATTTTTGTTTTTTTTTCTTGTCTTCAAATCAGGAACACTGAATGTGTTGAATTAAAAGTGAGCAATTTGATCAGATTTGCTAATCACCTCAAACCACGAATGATTTTGAATTTTTGTTCTATCCAAAAAATAAAAAAATTATCAATTTGCTGTCAGTGGTCCGTTTCGCCATGCGGTCCGTTTTGCCCTACCCACCCCTATGAAAAATTTAATTCCAATAAGCCGCAACTTTGAAAACTCATAGTAGTCTCCCCTTAACAAACAAGACAGTACATACCATTTTCATATTTTGTATCAACTACTCCATTATGCCCGGCGTAATCAATAACAGTATAGAACGCAATATATCATCGCCTCACACTCAACCACATCATTAACAGTAACCGACACTCTTTCATATTTATCAAATAATACACTCATGGAAAATGACATCTAATCACTCCAGAGCGACAGCATATCTCATGGTTATGGCGACATTCAGTCTAATACCTCGGTCATAATGATGAACGCCCCGCACTCCCTTTCTGAAATCCCTCTGGAGAAACTTTTATCCAAATGGAACAAAGCAATCTCCCACAATCAGACAGAACAGAAATGTACGGATCGATAACTGACACCTGACACGGTTATCCAAAACCCGAGAAGGAGGCGGCCAGGGAGGTGCACTATTGGGAATAAGGGTGACCCGCATATTTTTGGCCCCTGACCTCTCCACAAGCCTTGAACCCGTCTGTTGACCCATAATCTACCTACGTTCATCATAAATGTGACACTCCTCCATTTATCCAAACGTTCGTACACATTGGTAGAAAAGGTGGGAGGATTTA